AATTCGCCTAAAACAACAGGTGCTCTGTGGGAAGAAGAAACAGGTTCAACCACTGTCACTGCCCTGACCTGCTGTGGAGTCTGAGAATTCCCGAATAGCTTATTACATAGACCTGTTTTGATATGGCCTTCCATCCTGTACATTTAAATTCCCTTACCCCGTTATTGCATATGCATGAACTAACATTTTGAGTTCCTGTTTAAACGCAGTGGTTAACTAACACACTGACACACACACACACATACACACAACGCCAATAACCCTTAATTTAATATGAACATGACTCATGACAATTCACTTGTCATTCATAATCATTTACTTCGTAATATTGGTGTTTCCTTTAGTGCCACAATTATACCTATTATCACATACATATATTTTGAACTATGATCTTTTATAACAATCTATTTGCAATAAAAACGTTTGCGATTCTGACGTTAATGATTCCTTGTTGCCTTTAAAAAACCACTAATGTTGTCAATAACAATCATTCTCTCACTATCTTAGATAAATAACCGTAGAACCTGATCATGAAGTTAGCGGAAAGTGTAAAATACCTCTTAATTAACAGACTGAATACAAAGTCGTTGAGGAAGCCTGCACTAACACTTAGATGTTGAGCGAGACTTAAGAATGTGACGTGTCCTGCTGATGAGATTTATCAGTAGTATATAGAGAGACGTTCACCGACTTCAAATTATCAAATAGTGTAGAGAGAGATTTGATATCAAAGAGAGCAAATAATTCAATGTTGCGACAAAACATGTCGGACACCGAAAAACGACAAAAAGCACAATACGAAGTGGGGCAGAAGTAGAACACCATAGAAGATCTGTGCTAATCACCGTTTGCAGATAAGGTGTACATAATTTTACTATATAGACACACCAAATTCCTAACAAACATTCCCTTACCAAGTCTCTTGTCTTCTACATTCAATACACATTGCACAATCAAACAGCTCATTTGACCTCTTTAACACAAAATATATATCGTTTACAATAATATTACAAATGGAACTATACCCGCTTTCGACCTATTCTTAGAATTCACGTTCTCCCCTATACCACCACACTAGTGGTGAGACTTTTCACATGTCCGCATAGAGCATTTAACGAAGTCACTTTGCGAGTATTCTCAATCAGTTGATTCGATAAACAAAGCAACTGCTATCAACAATACCTCCTTCCTCTCTGCTAAACAGGCATTTATAACCATCACTTTGTGATTCTGTATGATGATCACATAGCAATGCTGTAGTACAGCCAACCTCTAGATTTCTTACTTGGATACGGTTCAGAAACAGCTGGGCTACTAAAAGTGCACAGAGTAATGGCAAAATCTATAATATTTCCATATCAGATAGAGTACTTCAAAAGACTCGAGAATAATTCTCAACAGATCAGTACAATATTATGCATCACTGGTATAAGAATAAAAACTTGTGCACTGTGGTAGAGTGTAATTCCATTATGAGTAAATTTTGTTTTGATAAAGTCTCACAGTGTTATACAGTAATGTTTACTGATGACGTTTCGAGCACAATTTATTGCTCATAATCGTCATTACAAAAGATGACAAAGGACACTCGACAGTAGTCTT